TTGGTTTTTCAAGACAGGGTTTCTCTGTGTAGCTTTGCGCCTTTCCTGGAACTCACTTGGTAGCCCAAGCTGGCCTCGAACTCACAGAGATCCGCCTGACTCTGCCTCCCAAGTGCTGGGGTTAAAGGCGTGCACCACCACCGCCTGGCTTGAAACAAGTTTTTCTATGTCCTGCCAGCTCCCGAATAATGACGTGGAGACTTATTCATTATGAAAGGTTGGCCTATACCTTAGGCTTTTTACTAACTAGCTCTTATAACTTAAAATAATCCATTTATATTAATCTACATTCTGCCACTGGGTTGTGGCTGTTACCTTTCTTTCTGCACATCCTGCTTGCTCTGCTTCTCCTGGTGTCTCTGCCTTTCTTCTTCCCAGAGTTTTCTCTATCCCCAGAAGTCTTGACTAACAACTTCCTGCTATTGGTCATTTGGCTCTTTATTAAACCAACCAGAAGGCACTTTGGCAAAGACATACCTTCACAGTGTAATCAAATTATCCACAACATTTCCCCATTTTTGTCTAAATAAAAAAGTGTTTAATGCTGTGGAATAATGTTTTTGTACACTGTGAAGATGTGTCACTCTGGTTTAATAAGCTGAATAGCCAATAGAGAGGCAGGATTTTCAAGATAGAAAGGATGCTGGGAAGGAGAAGACAGAGATGCCAGGAGATACAGAGCAAGCAGGGTGGGCAATATGGAGGAGAGGTAAAAGCCATGAGTCATGTGGCAATACGTATATGAATAGAAATGGGTTAATTTAAGTTATAAGAGCCAGTTGGACAAGCCTAGGCTATAGGCCAAGCTTTCATAATGAGTCTCCATATTGTTTTTCTGTGAGCTGGAGGCCCAAAGAAAAATGCATTTACACTCTACCACAGTAAAACTATATGTGTGTGTGTGTGTGTGTGTGTGTGTGTGTGTATATACATACATATATATACATATACATGTATATGTATATATGTGTGTAAAATAACAATTATCAGGTAAAAATTACATTTACAATGTCCAGCCCATTTGTATTTGGTAATTTTGGAGAAAATACTCTATTGTCTTTCCTGCCTTGATGCCACATGTGAATGATGCAGCATGGGCAGTATGGAGAGGAGGGAGTGAGCCATGTGGCAGAACGTGCATTAAAATAAATGGATTGATGTATCTGAGCTAGTGGGACAAGCCTAAGCTAAGGCCTGCTGTGGATTATGCTCATTGTTAATAAAACACTGATTGGCTAATAACCAGGCAAATAGTATAGGTGGGGTGATCAGACTGAGGATGTGAGGATGCTGGGGTAAAGAAGGGTGGAATGAGGGAGATGCCAGCCAGCCACTGGGGGAACAAAATGTACTAGAGGACAGGTAAAGCCACAAGCTTCATGGCAAGCATAGATTAATAGAAATGGGTCAACTTAAAGAGCTACTTACTAAAAAGCCTGAGCTACTGTCTAAGCATTTACAATTTATATAAGCCTCTGTGTGGTAATTTAGAAGCAGGCTCTCAGGACATGAAATCATTGCCTACATATGGCTTTCCAATGTGGCACATGTGCATCCACATAAGTCCTGAGAAAGAAAAAAAAATGGGGTGGGGGTTAGATACACAGAAACAGAGCATTTTTATTTAGACAAATAAAAAAGTATGTGGGTGGGCTTGGAACAGGTGCATACAGCGTGTTGTAGTGAACATTTTATATGATAGTAATCCTGTTTCCATTTTGTTACTAGAGCCAAGATTGAATGTATGACACGATAGTGAATGATCTTTTCATTCTGAAACCACCACTGCCCCTTTGCTCCTTCTTTTTCTTTCCTTTCTTTTTTCTTTTCTTTTCTTTTTACTTAAACATTTTTACGATAATTCCGAGAGAAAGTGCTCTTTGCCAGTTAAGATTGGTTCCAGTCCCGGAAACTGTTTGTATCTGCTTTACAGCAGTGAGTGCACTAACCCTTTGTGGGGGCTAGGGATGGTGACAAGCTTAGTTATGTCCTCTGGGAAAGTCCTAGTGAAAAATAAAAAATGTTCTGTAGAAAGGGAGAGGGAGAGAGAGAGAGAGAGAGAGAGAGAGAGAGAGAGAGAGAGAGAGAGAGAG